CTCAAGTCTGATCTGTAACAGAGCCCCCAAATGCTCTCCTCCCCCTTCATAGACCATACATGAGGGTTTCCTCTCCCCTGGAGTAAGAGGGCTTAGGCTGAATTGAAAGGTTGGATGAGAGGACACCAGAATTATGGTACCTGATATGAAGCCTCACCAGAATCTGCCTTAATGTCGTTCAGGCAGAGCTACTGCCTTTTGCCCCTACTGTCCCCATCTGAAATCACAGGAAGGCAATGTGGGAATAAACTGGAACCAGTATGAGAATTTGTAGGGCCAGCCAGAGGGCTGTTTCTAGGACAGCCTCCTCTGCTCCAGTTTCTGGGTGTCTGCAAAATGAGTTTACACATGATGGGGGCACCGCTTTCAGCAGCAGAAGCTGTGACAAGGAGACACCCGCTTGTTTTAAACAGGCTGTAGCCTCTATCATTCTCCTTGGAACAAACGAAAGCAATGCCAGCTGCCTTGCAGACTGGCCAGCCTGTCTGAGCCCTCCTCCTACTCTCCGGGGGAAAGCCAGTTCCTAATGTACACAGTGTTTAGTTGACTAGGAGTATTTGTGTGGCTGAAACGCCTTGTGTGTGTCATCTATTTCTGCCCTGATCCCGTGGAGTACTGCACTTTGGGACTTGTTCCTTCTGGCCTTACATATTTTTTATAAGAATGCCAGAGGAAAATAGCAAATGATTTCTATATATCGAATGTCAAATCCCTGCGCTATAATAACACACTATGCATCTAAAATTAAAAATGAGTTTGTTCTGGAATCCAAAATACATATCTTACATGAATTGCTAAAGCCTTGAGTGAAAGAACTATTAGGTTTCTTCCCACACTCCAAGTTGACTTTTTCTTTTACTTTTTTATAATAAGTGTCTGGAATTTAACTTCTCGCTCCTTCCCTCATATGGCAATGTGAAACATTTGACCGGGGTGCTCCAACCATGCAGCTGCTGCAGGGAAACCCGGTGTCAGAGCTCAGCAGAAATCTGCCACACACATGCAAACTTTGTCTTGCTCTGCAGTGTCCCATCTCTGAGAGCACATCTTATTTGAAGAAGCTAGCCCAGTGTGCCAGCAAAACAAATAGAATTGATACAGAGGGGATCATTCACGTGCATAGCCCTAACAAGCACTCTTTCATTCAGCACCACTCCTTGCTGCCTGATGCAAATGGCCTTTAACAGAAGTATCAATGCAGACTCCAAAGTGGGATTTAATTGCGATCAGGAGAATATACATTTGCGGTCACTACAATAACTCATATGATTTTTGTTTTCTTCTCTAGTGTACTCCTTAACCCATTTTCATTCTTGTTTTGTCTTACTTGTAGGTCTGTGATTCAGATACAATGCTTGATCCAGCCTCATCAGTGGAGATGGTAAAGGTTTTAGAAGAAGATCCAATGGTTGGAGGAGTTGGAGGTGATGTGCAGGTGAGTATGACAATTTTCAGCTTAACAGAGCTGTTTCAGCAACTATTTGCACTGCAACAGATCTCCCTGCCTGGAATAGCATTGAATATACTGTGATACCATTATAGAGGCTCTTACGATACCTTAACCTTTCTGTCTCTTGAATGGAAACTCGTTCTTAGGTGTTAACACTGTTTGGTTTTAACACCCACGGAAAGCAAACAAATATTCTGCCCCATATATGTGAAAAGCAGGGCACTAACACTGTCAGGACTGCTGTGGCATCTTTGAATCTCTGGGTATAACTGCTTGCTCAGGGTACAAAAGAAAAGATATAAGGGAGCAGAGAATTGAGAACAGGTCTCCCAGAGCCAAGTCCAGCACCCCAAGCACTTCAATTATGTTACTACTGGCAGCCAAGATTGTTAGGAATAAAAGCCTTTTTGAAATGCATTGCACTATGCACTCTGTGTATTGTTGGGTTTCCTCTGCATCTCTGTCAAGCAGGACAATGGAAAGCCCCCAAGTCAGCCCAGCGCCACTTCTGTTAGGATTTCGAGCATTGCTGAATTTGGCTGACAACTACAGCAAAAGGCTGTTCATTCCTTTTGACACAATTGCTCCTGCTGCAATTTATAAAGAAAAATGCATATGAATATTTCAATTGGCCTTAGGATCGGTCCCCCGTACTCAGTTGGGCTTTTATGTGAGACAGAGGAGAAAGGCCCATCTATATGGGCAAACACTGACTAATGAACGCCCTGGTAGTCAGAAGTATTTCAGGCATGTGGCTCTTAACTCCAGAAATTAAGATTCCCACAGAAGCCTGGATATCTTTGCATATAGCTCTGAACTACTGACTGCAAACCAGGCGTTACATTCACCCTGCACGTGTGAGATGCCAGGCACATGTGAGTACAACTGGAGGGAGATAGTATGGGTTCAGCTATGGCAGTGATGGTTCATAAGCATCTGCAGAGAGAGGTGGGAAGGACGTGTGTCCTCTGGGGGGAAACACAGCAGAATGGAGGCTTTGGGCTTCTTTTTTTTTCGTGATTCACATTCCAGCATATAACAAATACATTTGAGCCAGGCTTGAGCCTATCTCTGAGCCCTGCTGCTTCTAAAATGTTCTGGAATTAAATTGAAACAGAGCCAAAATCGGCCCTTGGCCTGACAGAAATTAGGGCCATCAGAGCAAAAAGCTGTTTTCTTCTAGTCGCAAGGAAATGCTTTCTAGCTGTAGAAGGCCCCAGATTCTCCTGAAAATCTCCACACTGAGAAAATATCAGTGCAGAGCTCGCACAGCCAGCCTGCTACACGCTTCCTTGCCACATTTCCCAGCACAAGGTGTGTGCTCAGAACCTGTGTGTGAAGACATGGACTTGGGCATCTGCACGTGCTCATAGCTCCATTGAGTGTTCATACTCCTAGACTATATCTATGTTGTAGTTTAAGTGTAGGCCTGAGGTTCAGGTGAGCTTTGGGGCATATAGAAGAAAAAGACTGAGACCTTTCAGCAGGCCAAAGCAAGACTCTATGGGAGTATCATAGTATGTCTTAGTGCAACATAACAGGGCTGGTACTGCAGAGACAAATCAGAAAAGGTTGTTCCTCAGAGGGCCTGATGTCAGATATGGGGACACAGTCCAGGTCAAACCTCTAGGGCCAGCCTTATGATACCAAAAATGTAGGCCAAAGACCGTGTGCTCAGCCTTTGTCATGCTCTGGCATAGCTTTAAGGAGGGCTGGAAGAAGTCCTCTGAGTCCCAAAGATGGGGATGGGCCGGGGGCAGAGAAGCAGGAGGCCATGTCTGGGACTCCACCGTTTTCCTCTCAAGGAGATTCTGAGTCCAGCAGGTCCTTAACCTGGAGTGAAGGGAAAGGGAGAATGAACCAGAAAATAAGTTTCTTGGTGAAGCATTGGAAAGGTTGCAAGGATAAAGATAACATGTTGGTAGAATAGACTTTTGAAGGCTCCATTTTGCCCTTCCTGTCAATGTCCTGGGCAGTATATAGGTAACTTCTGGGTTTGCCATGAGTGGGACACAGGAGTGAGGTTCCTCCTGTATTTCAGCTAATGATGCTCTAGTCTCTGCAAATTCCTTATTGATCTAACGTGTATATTTTCTGTCTCAAGAGGTCATCTAAAATGAAATCTTTTTTTTTATTTTGCAGATTTTGAACAAATATGATTCCTGGATCTCCTTTCTGAGCAGCGTGAGATACTGGATGGCATTTAACATAGAAAGAGCCTGTCAGTCCTATTTTGGCTGTGTACAGTGCATCAGCGGACCTCTGGGAATGTACAGAAACTCTTTACTCCATGAATTTGTGGAAGATTGGTACAATCAAGAATTTATGGGGTCCCAATGCAGCTTCGGAGATGACAGGCATCTAACTAACAGAGTGCTAAGTCTGGGCTATGCAACAAAATACACAGCTAGATCCAAGTGCCTTACCGAAACACCGATAGAGTATCTCAGGTGGCTGAATCAGCAGACCCGCTGGAGTAAATCGTACTTTAGAGAGTGGCTTTATAATGCAATGTGGTTCCACAAGCACCATTTGTGGATGACCTATGAAGCTGTAATCACTGGATTCTTTCCTTTCTTCCTTATCGCCACAGTCATTCAGCTCTTCTACAGGGGAAAAATCTGGAACATCCTCCTCTTCTTGTTGACAGTTCAGTTAGTGGGCCTGATAAAGTCTTCTTTTGCCAGCTTCCTTAGGGGCAACATTGTAATGGTTTTCATGTCACTCTACTCAGTGTTGTACATGTCAAGTTTACTGCCAGCAAAGATGTTTGCAATTGCCACCATAAACAAAGCAGGGTGGGGCACGTCAGGAAGAAAAACCATTGTAGTTAATTTTATAGGACTCATTCCAGTCTCCATTTGGTTTACAATCCTCCTAGGTGGCGTAATTTTCACTATCTACAAGGAATCAAAAAAGCCATTTTCTGAGTCAACACAGAGAGTTCTCATCATTGGCACAGTACTCTATGCTTGTTACTGGGTTATGCTTTTGACTTTGTACTTGGTTCTTATCAACAAATGTGGCAGGCGGAAGAAAGAGCCACACTATGACATGGTGCTAGACGTATGATGTTTCTGCGGGAAGTTACCCAGAGAGTTGTAAAGCAACCCAACGACCTTGTAGTATCTGTGGCATCAGACAAATGTTGCCAACGGAAATGGATCATTGCTGCTGGGAATAGGACATTTGTATTCCTCTGGGTTCATTTTCATCCTGCCAAAGTGAGAAAAAAAAAAACCAATAAAAAATGATTTTTTTTTTCCAAGGGGGGGAAGATGCAAGCCACACAGTTTCGACCTGTTCACAAGAAAATGGGAGAACTTCTATGTTTATGCACTTTTTTTATTGTGCATACGCCTGACAGTGTTACATTCTATATACCTCACTGGTCATGCTTATGTGTGTGGACAGGAAGGAAAGGAGTTTGGAGACTCAAGAAAAGGATCTTACAACCCCTTGCGACCTAATTTATGAACTTCTCTTTTTTTATAATTCTGTTTATAGGAAGGGTCTTTTGTGTTAGGCTGCCAAATGTAATGCCAAAGGTAAATTTTAAGAGGCCATTGGCTGAGCTGTATTTTTATATTATTGTATTATTTGTGTGTGTGTATTTTTAAACCAACTTTTTTTTTTTAAATCACATATTTTATATTTTACTATCTGCCAAAAAAAGCTGCCTCCCCAACATTTTGTTCTTTAACCTTTTTAAATACATTTGGGAAAAAAAGCCCATACTTTCTCCCCCAAAATTTGTGCTGAATTTATATTGTTCACGACAGAAAGAATAAAAGGTCTCTCTGTGTTTTTGCAGCCGATGAATGGTTATTTCTGTGAAAAAGCATTTAAATGTGCTCTTTGAAGACATTTATTAGGAAAGGCCCAACATTGTCAGTTTTTGAATACAAGCATATTTGTGCATAAAAAAGGCCAAAGGGGTAGATACGTGCAATTTGGGGTTTTGTTTTGGATAACATTGTGAAAGGGAAGTTTGCTTCTCTGCTGAGAGCAGAATATTCTTGGCAACAGCCATAAGGAATATTCCTGCAACAGCCATAAGGCAAGGCAGGCCTCCATGCCATTGGAAAAGACACTGCTATAGGAAAGCTCCCACTGATTTTATACGGTACCTGAGGAGTCAAAAACTTCTTATTCCAAGAAATTTTGGACACCCAAAACTACTATTGACTTCACTGATGATCACAGTTGTTCATAATCTGGTAGTACCAAGCAAATAATTCAGATTTTTGAGCTCAAAAAAAAAAAAAAAAATGGAAGGAAAACTTTTCAACACTTTCAAAATGTGGGTGTCTCACCATAAAAATTCTGCAGTGGCCTTCATACAGTTTACAGAAAATACAAACATCAGCTTCTCTGACATGCAGTGTAATACAGACCCCAGTACTGAGCCCAACGATTGGTGTTTGACTAGAGCATATCTACCAGAAAATAAGCCAATTTTTTATCAGAAAACTTCAAGCCTTAGCAAATCCATCACTTCCTTGGTGCCTAATAATCAGTCTTGGACATTTATTTTGGACCATGGTTTTGAGAAATAATATTCAGGACTAAATTCTGCAGCCCTTCACCAGCCAAAGGAATGTGGCATTGAGCCCTAATATACTTTACAAAGAGCAACAGAAAGCCAGCTGCATATGGATGCATGCCCTTTTTAGATTCTGGTATTAAAAGCACTGTGGTAAAGCAGAAATCAGCATATGATGCTTAAAGAACTTAGAAGCATTTTCTGCTTCTCTTTTTTATGCAGACATGAATAGATTCTGCTGTAGAATGAACTGCACACACACTACCTTATTTGTCTGATTATCTTGAGGTACATGATTGCTTGAAAGTTATACTAATATTATGTTAATGATTGGAGAGTTGATTCATGTTGATTACAAAATAGAACAGTATTAAAAAAAGCAAAAGAAACAGTAAAAATAAAAAAAAAATGACTATGCCTTTTAACTATTTATGATGTAAGTTAAAGCTTGGGTTAACATTCAAATGTCAAATAAATCCTCTCATTCTATAAAAAGATTGAATTAATTGCCTGTATTTATTCTAGCAATTATTCAATGTACTTCCAATATAGGTTGTATAGTATAATTGTTACTTTCATAAATAAAATATTTTTGATAAGATTATGACTAATTCATGGTATTTCTGATCAGCACTTCTGCTTTGAAGACATAAATCTTCACAGTTTGAAGGCTGTTGTTAACACATCACCAGCCTGATTTCCAAGTAGTAATTTGCCATTGTGTAGCAAAGCACCTGGGGAGTGGGTGCCTGGAGGAGGCGGGGACTGGTCCCTTCTCTGAGAGGCAGCACAGCGTATGGGTAACATTCAGTCGGAGTCTCTGCCTGCCTCTGCCAGCAGCTCCTAGATGATTCACCCAAAACACTTCATTCCCTTTTTTTCCTCAACTTCCTGACTGTAAAACAGAAATAGCAATCCAAACTCCTTTTGGGAAGCACTTTGAAGTTTATTGCTAAAGTACATTACATGAAAGCTGCTATTTTCCAGCCCTCCTGTCCACTGGAAGTTGCTGCCCTCCATGGCTGGGGAAGCAGAGGAGAACATGTACATGGCCTTCTACTGCTCCTCATTACTGCTGTTTTTCAAGCCCACTTTGCCCTGGCACAGCTGAATTGCATGCATGTATTTTCTATCGCTGAGGGTTATGGACAGCAGGCACTGACAGAGGGACAAAGTGAGCAGGGGGCAAAGTGACATCTCACATATCTCCCAGACAAGGAAAGGCTCATCACAGGTCAATTACTTAGGAGACAGTGTCTGAGCAGTCAGCACTTGTTACCCTATGGCTGGACACAGTGCCCAGTTTTTTGTTCCCCAGTACAAGGAAGTCACTGATAAACTGGGGCAAGTTCAGCATAGGGCCAGCATAACGGTTTGGGCTGGGACAGAGGCGCTGAGAAAGCTGGGCTGGTTAGGTTGGAGAAGGGATGGCTTTGGCAGGTGAGACAATTAAGGTCACCTCCAATACCTATAGGGAAGTCATCAAGAAGATGGAGCCAGGCTCTTCACAGTGCCACTTGGGAAGATGAAAGACTCCAAGTTTAAGTTGAAAGGGAAGAGGTTCAGCCTGGGTGTAAATAGAGACATCTTCTCCATGAGGACAGTCAGGCATTGAGGCAGGTTGCCAGGAGAGACAGTGCAGCCTCCATTCTGGGAAGGTTTCAAGACTAGACTAGATAAAGTCCTGAGATGCCTGGTCTGACCTCAGAGCTGCCCCTGCTTTAAGCAGGAGGTTGGGCTAGAGACCTCCGAGGCCCCTTCCAACATGAGTTCTCCTGTCATCCTTTCTGAAGCAGGTGCTGACAGTCTGCTTCCTAATGACAGCTCTCACCCGCACAGAGGCTCATTCCCATCTCTCTTCCCCACACATCTGTCCTGACCCTGGGCACAAATAGCTCATCAGCAGCTAGTACTGAGCACCCAAAAAGTCAGAGCCTTTCCTGTGACTCTATGTCACTCTCCTCACTGTGTTTACAGCTGTGTAGAAAAAGGTTTTGGCAGAAAACAAGACTACAAAACAGTTCTAAATGAAAGTGTTCTTAGACAAATCAAATCATTCAATAACATTTCCTGGTTCTCATTAATAGCAAATATAATTGTGTCATCTCTGTCAAAAGAAGAAAATATACTAAAAGAAAAATTATACTTTATTTTGAACTTTTTAAAAAACACAGGTATTTTTGGCCACCTCTGATTAGACAGATGTGACTTAACATTATAAGAAACTCCCACAAGCTATAAATTCCACATGAAAGTTAAAAACCAATCTTTCCAAAAAATGCAATGAATTGGCACTCTCAGGTTATAACCCATTTCCAGAGTACAGTAATTTGAGTTTGAGTGCATGTGTTTGCAGAGAGCAGATGTAAAGCAAAATCCGAGGGAATCAGATGTGCAGGAGGGAGAAAGGAGCCCTCCTTTTCTATCTGCTATCAAGCTTTGGTTTGGCCAAGAATCAGTTCTTTCAATGGGAAATGCATGAATATTTAGCAGAACTTTTCTAGGAGGCGGAAAAAATCCTGTCAGACACATACTGCCAAACATGTCCTGATGCACAAGCTGTTGTGAATCTGTCTGTTAAAAAATTTGGTCTGAATTTTATTCTTAGCAAGAGATAAGATGGTAAAGAGGAGACAAAATATACTGAAAGCTGTTGATGAGGTTTGGTATTATTGAGGCTTTGTTGGAATGCCATATTTCTCCGGAGTTAACACAGTTAACTTAAATATACTGCAATTTTTCCCTGAACTTTCACTTGGACTAAGTTTGCTTCTTTGGTTTCATATCTGACGAATGGATGAATGAGTGCCTCAAATTGTTGCTGCTTCTTCCAGCTATGGTATTTTGTATAATGAAGCATTCTGCCACTCCCAAAGAAATCCAACTTGAATTTTCTCCTAGAATATCCTAAATTTTCTATAAGTTACCATGACTGTACAGGGAAAAACGATCTTGTAGTTACGTGCACTAAATAAATGAGAGACGCATGCGACGTGTCTGAGCTTGGTACATGGTAATACATTGTACTATTCAAGTCTAAACATGGTCCATGTTTTTTTTTGCCATGTTTTTGCCATAGGCCAGATGGTGCTGCCCTAGACAATGTTGGACACGGGTAGGAGAGATGCATGAAGTGGGAACCATCCTGGTTTGGGAGATCATAGAGCTTGGATGTGATCTCTGTCATCAACTGGTGTCAAGATGAGAGAATAGTCCCTCGCTTGCTTTTTTTTTTACAAGATGAAATGGAAGCTATCAATACTCCACTGAGGAGGACAATGTAGGTCAGCTCACCCCTTACTGGACATCATGCACATAGGATCTTACTCTTAAGAGATCAATAGGTATCATTAGTTCTGCAGCTCTTGAAAACACCTTCTTTTTTTTTTTTTTTTTTTTTTTTTTTTTCCTTTCCATTAAGAAATTTCACATTTCCAAATTCGTTTGGTCACGTCCAGGAAGCAAGAAGCAATACCACCCAGGAATCAAAAACTACTGTAGTCACAGTGCTCACTTAATGCCCATTGCATTAATACTTCATTTGCTTCTTTTACACCATCCCTGCTGGGCTGCCTTTCTCCTGGTAGCAGTCTACTTTGATTTGCTCCAGGTTTGATGCAACCTGTAGAAATGAAACGGTTATGATAGAACCTCTTTTTTTGGCTGCTTCTCACAAGGTTCAGTGAGAAGAGAAAGCATGAGGAGCTTGCCTGTGATCGGTGCTGCCTTATACGATGCAAGAAAGTGATGTCTGGAATTTAACATTATCAGTCACATTATTAGCGATTAGAGAACCCACAAAACCAGCACGCACAAAAGTGACAGTTAGCAAGTGAATCACAGAAAATTTGAATTTGTAAGTTTCTTTGCCTATATAATTATTTATTTTCCAGTTTCTAGGAGGGAAATCATCACTTTTAACTATGCCTTGACCCTACAGCACCTTGGAGACACATAAAATATTGTAGCCATGAAGAACTGAGCTGAATGTGGTTGAAAATAGATTAAATGGGCAGCTTGTTCTAAATTAATTACAAGGTTGTGGCCTGTATCTGCTCCCCAAAAGTGCTCTTAAGTTTTCCATACTGATTCTTTTTAATGAATGTAGCTTCTTACAGG